TAGGTCCAGCTTCGAAAAGACTATTGCACGTCGCAGGTTGTCTAGTAGGTCGTCTATGCGCGGTATGGGGTATTTGTTTTTTACTGTCTGTTTGTTCAGTGCGCGGTAGTCGATGCACATCCGTAGACTGCCGTCTGGTCTTGGAGTGAAAAGAACTGGTGCACCGTAGGGAGAGGTGGATAGGCGAATGAGTTGTCTGTCCAGTAAATACTCGATATGTTTCTTTGTGTCTGTCAGTTCGGTCGGACTCAGTCGGTATGGTGCTCGTGAGACGGGTTTCGCACCTGGTTCCTCCACGATCTCGTGCTCGTAGGTGCGTGCTAGAGGTACGCCTGCAGGTAGGTTGTCGGGCATTATATCCTTGTACTGCTCTAACACCTCATTTACTACTGCAGGTAGCTCCAAACTCGGCTTCTCCTCCTCTGCTGCTGCCATAACCAGTGCTAAGTATCCCGTGTTACTCTCGTTCATAGTCCGTTCGAACCATGCCAGTGTCGTTTCAGGAACGTTCCCTGTATCTGTCCAGCTTCGCAGCTCCACTTGTTTCCCGTTGTTGTAGATGCACGCCTTCCTGTTGATCCAGTCGATCTCGGGGTTGAAGCGCTTCAGGAAATCTTTCCCCAAGATGAAATCTAAAACCTTGATGTTCGTGACCGTCAACGTCGGCTTCCACCTTATCGCCCCTATGTGCAGCTGCAGTGATGCTTCGCCGTGAATGGGAAGTTTCGTACCGTCCACTATTGTTACCGAGAACTTGCTCTCCTCGGAAGGTTCCCCAATTTTCTCCAACGTCCCGCGGTCACACACCGAGTGAGATGCACCGCTGTCCACCAGTGCCTGGAGGCGTCACCCGTTGCAGATTACCTCGAGTAGTAGTGGTTGTTGCTGCTCCGAGTAACCGTAGATGGTCTCACTAATAGGATCGTAGGGTACGTCGAATAGATCATCCCTCGGTCCTGCGCTCGAAGCTGCTGACTCCATATCGGTTTCCAATTGAGTAGGGTCGGAAGGATTTATCCGAGGCCGATTCAGCTTCGTCTTGGCCTGGAACCTTCCCTTAAGCCTTTGCAGCTGTGTAGGCTTCTCCTATGGGAAATGGGGAGCCGTAACACTATGCTGCGGGGAGAGAATAGTAACTCCTTGGAACGCACAACCCTTTTCAACGCTCCGAAGTGGTTTGCCCAACTTCTCAGGTACCTGAATAATGTCTGAAGGCTTTTTCTTGGCCTTGAAATCTCCCCTGAATTTGTTAAAGGCTTTAAATCCTCGAGAGAAAATATTCATACTCTCGGGGGTCTTCGGCTGGAGTTTCCCAGTCGGTGCAGAGTCTTGTTTCGCGGAGCCTCCATTTGTCTCGGCGATTTCCCCTGTTGACGGCCGGTTGTGACGTTTTAAATTCGCGCCATCATGTCCTCCTTTTTTCGCCATCATGGATGTCGCACTGTTGTTGCCCTGCAGCTCCGCTTGTGGCTTCTTCATTTTCCAACACGCCAAGAGTCGATGTCCTGCTGCGCCGCAAAATTCGCACTTCTCATATTTTGTCGGCCGCTGCTTTGCGTGGATCTTGTCGATATCCATCGGGTCGGCGGTCGTGGGTGGTGCCGATCGTTTCGTGCCAAATGATCGGTTCGGCACGTGGCGTCGTGTCTCGGGTTCACATAGCATCAGCGCATTGAATCGCTCTGCTGAACACACCATGTTGCAGTAGTTGTTGTAGTTCGCAGCAATCACCTGTTGGCGGACTTCCATCTTTAGCCCCTCAGTATACGCTTGGATTTTTTCCCCTTTGGTCAAGTCGGTAATTCGGTTGAAGAGGCTCTCCGTGTGCTGCGTGTACTGTGTTACATTGCGAACTGTTTATGCCGATGAATCCGCTGCCACGCCATGTAGCTGGAGTGGATTGGTTCGAAACGTTGAATTCAAGCTTCCCGAAACTGCGTCCATGACCCCTCGCCTCGGATCTTATTGCTATTGTAAATCCACTCGAGCGCTGGGCCTCATAACAGTGTCGCTGCGAGCCGAATCCGCATTGCATCGTGTGTCGGGGTCGTAGAGCCGACGGCCTCAAAGTCAAGAGAGTGAAGCTCGTAGTCGCGCTGAGCGGCTATGTGCAGCAGCAAACGAAGAGTGGTCATCTTCGGGGTGTAAAGGTCTGAAAGTAGTCAACTCCTTGCCGCTGACTGAAGCCTCGAGCCACGTAATGCGCCTTGAAGACAGGCGGAGAACCCGGCAGCCGCTTCACCCTGAAAATCCACATGCCACGGGTGGAGGAACCTTGTCGACGTAGGTGCGCGTGGATTTCCAAGAAGTCATCTCTGCGTCCATGGCTGACTGCCACTGAGAGGAGTAGGGACCCTCTATCGCCTCCGCGTAAGAGCGCGGAGTCGAGATGTCTGGTGCATCCGGGTCTCCCTCAAGGGCAATCAGCATGGACGCGAGATGAGGTAAAGCAGCAAGACACTGGAACTCCTCCGGCATGTTCTCAAGGACGTCCGTGCGAAGAGCACACTCACCCCCGACGGACAGAGGACAGACACACTCAGACTCAGCAACAAGACTGGCGGCGTAGTCTAGACGACAGTGAGCAGCAAAGTCAACAAGCTCAACAACAAAGGCAGACGCAGCAGTGGACTCAAAGGAAGGGTCAGTGACAACAGTAGCGAGGAGACGCGTGACAGTAGGGCTGGCAGCACGAATGGAGTCAGACTCCGGGCCAGCAAGAGCAGGAAGAGAGGATTCTGGAGGAGACAGCAAAGGGACAAGCAGTGGAGCAGTGGAAGTACGCAGTGCCATCTGGTGCGAGGACGCGGACGCGGAACACGACGACTAGTACGAGCAGCACGAACTGGCGACGCAGGACGAGACGCAGGCTCACGACGCTCAACAAGACCTCCAGTAGGACCAATGTAGGGAGAAGGAGCAGGCAGTGGGGAGGCGGGCTTTAACTGTGACTCAGACTGGACAGGCGGCGGACACTCTAAAGAAGAAGTAGGACCAGCAGAAGGCGGGAGACAAAGAACCTGCTCAAGGAGCGGAACGAAGTGCGGCCGCGGCCGCGCAGCGCCTCCAGAGCCAGCAGGGACAGCACCAGCACCCCCAACGGCAGCACCAGCACCAGTAGCACCCACAGCTACAGCACCGCCAACTCCAGCACCGCCAACTCTAGCACCCTCAGAAGGACCAGCGCCGGCAGCACCTCCAGCGCCAACACCCTCAGCAGCTCTAGCTCCAGCCGGACCACCGGAGGACTCAACAGCCCCAGCTCCAGCACCTCCACCAGCACCTGCTCCAGAAGCACCGCCCGCACCAGCACCACCAGCAGGTCCCGCACAAGGAGCACCTCTAGGCCCAACAACTCCAGTACCTCCAGTACGAGCACCTCCGGGACCCGTGGCACCAGCACCCTCAGCATTAGTATAACCTACACCTCCAGCAGCATGGCTCCAGTGCCGAGCAAACCACTCGCGCAGCTCTTGTGGTGAGGGTAGCTCCCGCCGGGACGAAGCACTCAAAGGACCTCCAGACCCAGTACCGCCAGACTCCACACGAGCAGGCCCAGCACCCCAGGCTCCGCACCCTCAGTCTCAGCACCCCCAGGCTAAGCACCCCCAGACGCAGCACCCTCCGAATCAGCACCCCCAGACCCAGCACCCCCAGACCAAGCACCCGCAGGCTCAGCACCCTTAGTAGCACCAGAGTCAACAGCTATCTCGACAGGCTCAACTGCGTCTACCTGGGACACACCTGAGGGGGCAGAACCTTGAGGGGGAAGGGGGTCTACCGAGGGGGACCTGGCGTGAGGAAGAGCGGCGGCGGGGGGAGGGGCGCAGTGCGGTAGGGGAAGAGACAGTAGTAAGGAACCGATTCGTCAAACGTGACGTCCTGGGAAAACATAACACGCCGCGAGGTGGGGTGGTAAAACTGCCAACCAGGCGCGTCAGGGGGGGAGTCAAGGAAGACGCGGGGAACAGCACGGGAGGATAGCTTGTCCGCAGACAAGTCGCGGACAAAAGCCCGAGATCCCCAGACACGAAACGCAGACGCATCGCCAACCTTCCCCGTCCTCCGCAGAGTAGGGAAGGTCTCCGGCAAGGAGACCCGGGGCTGAAGGTTGATCTGATGCGCGCGTATTGAACCGTGAACGGCCACAGAAAATGGGGAGCAGCCGCATGGATCAGCGACGTACGAGCGACGTCCATAACCATGCTAATTCGGCGCTCAGCAATCCCATTTGCTGTGGAGAGGCCGGAAGCGTGGACGTTTGGCGGATGCCCCGTGCACGACAGAAGGCTCGCAGAAGGTCAGAGGAAAACTCTCCGCCTCTGTCAGGGTGCAGACGCAGAACCGGAAAGTCCGAGCCAAAATTCTCTCTGAGCTGGAGACGAGCTGCGCGGATCCAGTCAATCAACACCTCTGTGACGTCACCCTTGTTGCGCAAGGGGAAGACCGTGGTGTAACGCGAGTAGTCGTCAACCACCAACAGGAAGTAACGCTCGTGACCCTGACCACGGACGCGGGCGGGGCCCCACACGTCCATGTGAAGAGTCTGCAGCGGATCCTCTGTCGAAGGAAACTCGGAGGAGTGAGGAGCGGCGCGCTGCCGCCCCTTGACGCAGGGAACGCAGGTAGGGGCAGGCCCCGGAGGGAGGGGAGGGAGGGACCGGGGGAGACCAGAGACAAGGTACCGAGAGGCCATGCCTCGGAGACGAGGCAGGAAGGTGACCAAAGCGGTGGTGCTAGAGGAGGGTCTGGTGGGACAAGAGACGACACGAGCAGGGGGCAGACTCAGGACCAGACCTGGACACTTCACCAAACACCTGACCCGACGCAACTACCTGACCAAACTCAGCAACCGGAGGAGACTCAGTAGTCAGTGTGTACAGGCTCGACCCCGGCTGACAGGTAAACGTGGCCAAGTGTCGGCTCGTCCGAAGGCGGACCTAGGCGCGGATGGGCGGACCTGGGCGCGAATGGGCGGACCTGGGCGCGAATGGGCGGACCTAGGGGCGAATGGGTGGACCTGGGCGCGAATGGGCGGACCTGGGCGCGAATGGGCGGACGTGGGCGCGAATGGGCGGACCTGGGCGCGAATGGGCGGACCTGGGCGCGAATGAGAGGCCAGACATGGGAGGCGAGCCAGGAGACAGCGTCCACGTTGGGCGCGTGGTGAAAGGTGCCCAGCACGACACAGTGCTGCCGCTGCTCCTAGGGGGACGGTGTGGGGTCGGCACAGGGGGAGGTGGAACCTGAGATCCGGGGCTCGAGGAAGAGCTGGGAGGATGGCTGCATGTGGTGGCAACAAGGGGGGGAGAGGGGGGAGGCAGAAATAAGAGGTGAGTGGGTGGAACAAACAAGGGTCGCTTCTGAGCATTCTCACGAGCAATAGCACAACAGCGCCTTGCATGCGCCCTGTGAAGCTCGGAACCATCAAGTAGGAGGGTACCAAGAGTTGCGAATGATACGTTTATATGTGTACATTGGCTAGGTTGCACGCGCGTGCATTTGCAGGCGCAGCCATTAGCCATTGCAGGCGCAGGCATTGCAGGGGCAGGCATTGCAGGGGCATCTGAAACATTTAAACCCACCTTGTTGATTCCTCGACAGGCACTGCCTCACCCCTCACTGCCTCACCCCTCACCGCCTCACCCCTCAATGTCTCAACCCTCCTCACTGCCTCACCTGTCCGCCCCACCTCCCACTGCCCCACCTGGCACTGTCTTGGGTGAATCATAGAATAAGGAGGCGAGGGCAAGCTTGTGGGGCGGGAAGGCGTAGCAGCGCGCGAGGAGAGCGAGCTCCGCCTGTGAACACAGCTGAAGGGGGCGAGTGAGAGACGGGGGGGGGGAGGGAGGGAGGGAGGGAGGGAGGGAGGGAGGGAGGGAGGGAGGGAGGGAGGGAGGGAGGGAGGGAGGGAGGGAGAGAAGGCGGGTGGGCGGACGGGAGGGTAGGGAAGGAGAGAAAGAGGGGGTTAAAAAGGTGGGTGAGGCGCAGTGAACTAGTGCATGCGCGCATGTGTGAGTCTGCACAGCGAATGGGAGGATAGGGATTGGAAACCACGCGGAACTAAATCTGTATAACGAACCAGCAAGCAACCAGAAGAAAATCAAACTAGAAAAATACGCTGGAACGAGTTCAAAAGGTGGGGGTTGGGGCAGATTGTGGAGGCAGGGGGCGGGGTGGGGCAGAGGGGTGGGGGCAAGGGGTGGGGGCAGAGTTGAGGGGCAAGAAGGGCGGGGGAAGAGTGGGGGGGCAGATGGAGGGGAAGAGGGGCCACGGACCAGAGTGAGGTCACGGCGGTGCATGGATGCCAGTTCGCGCAGCAGCTCCCTGCTGCTTGTATCGGGTACGTGGTGTAGCGCGTCCCTGATAGAGCCCCCTTCAGATACCACCTGCTGCCGCCCCGCCTGCCTGCCCGGGGAGGAGAGGGGATGGGATGGGAGGGGGTGGGATGGGATGGGATGGGATGGGATGGGAAGGGATGGGGTGGGATGGGGTGGGATGGGATGAGATGCAGTGGGATGGGAGGAAAGAGGAGGAAAAGGGATGGGGAATGGGATAGGATGGGAAGGATGGGATGGGGCAAGAGGAGAGGTAAAAGCATGGGATGATGGGATGAGACCCCATGGCACCCCATGTCACCCCATGGCGCCTCATGGCACCCTAGGGCACCCCAGGGCGCCCGATGTCAACCCATGTCACCCCATGTCACCGCATGTCACCGCATGGCACCCCACAGCACCGCATGGCACCGCACGTTACCCACCCGAAGGAAGTGCAGGTCCTGTGTGTCGAGCACGAGCAGACAGGCGGGGCAGCACTGCCTCACGCGGAAGGAAACGGCCTCCTCGCTCGTGAACCTGCGCGCATGCAGGGGGGGAGGGGGGAGGGGAGGTGAAAGGGGAAAGGGGGGTGGGAGGGGGAGAGGGGGGGGGGGGAGGGGGAAGGGGAGAGCGGGAGGGGGGCGGGGGGGGTTGCGGGTGGGATAGGGGGAGGGAAGGGGGAGGGGGAGGTTGAGTAGGGTAAAAGTAAAGAAGATTATATTGGGGTGAAGGATGGGAGAGGGAGTGAAAAAAGGTCAGAAGGGAACGAAGGCGGAGCAGGAAAGAGGCGATTACAAGGGGGCAAGGGGGAATCGGAGAGCGGGGGAGGGGGAGGGGGAGGGGGAGGGGGTAGAAGGAAAGGATATTAGAGGAGGGGTGATGGATGGGAGAGGGAGCGGAAGCAGATCGGAAGCGAGCAAAGGTGGAGCAGGAAAGAGACGATTGCAGCGGGGCAAGGGGGGATCGGAGGGTACACGGAAAATGATAGCAGGAGTGAGGGAAGCGCGTGACAGGGCCACAGGTGGCACAGGTGGCACAGGCGGCACAGGTGCGACGGCCACTGCAAGTGCTGCCAGCCACTCCCCTTAGCTGACCCAATCAAACCCTGTCTCCTAAGTTTCCCCTCCACCCTCCCCCTTCAACTCCATCCTCCCCACCCTACACCCCTTCCCCCACTCCCCCCCCCCCCCCCCCACCCTCCCCTCCCCCCCTCTCCCCCCCGCTCCCGTCCTGTTAGCCTGTCGACCACGAACACTGACGTGGCCTAGCGACAGTTGCTGACCTCTCAAAGACGGCAATGGTGGGGTGCACGGCGTCCAGCACCGTGTGGAACTCCGCCGCCCTGCCACGGAGGGGGAGCGCGGAGGGGGGAGGGGGAACGAGGGGAAGGAGAGAAAAGGGGAGCAAGACGTGCGGGACGGGGAGAGCGGGAGTGGAAGGAGGGGGGAAGGCGTGGAGAGGGAAGAGGGTTGGCAAGCACGAATGTATGGAGAAGAACGGAGTGGAGGGTTATAGGGACGAGAGACAGATGTGCAGAGACGAGGAGAAGAGAGGTGAGATGCGAGAGACGAGATGCGAGAGACACGAGATGTGAGAGACACGAGATGCGAGAGACACGAGATGCGAGAGACACGAGATGCAAGAGAAACGAGATGCGAGAGACACGAGATGCGATGGTGCATATGGTACGCGCGACAACATGGCGGGATAGGGCTGGTAGCTATCGCACCTGTTGGGCGCACGCTGGTACGTGGCAATGCCTGCTGCCCCCATCAAGGCACCTGAAATATCACCTGTTGGGCGCACACTGGTATGTGGCAATGCCTGCTGCCCCCATCGAGGCACCTGAAATATCACCTGTTGGGCGCACACTGGTACGTGGCAATGCCTGCTGCCTCCAGCTCCTGCAAATACACGTTTCTCCTCGCCGGGCTGCGGCAAGGCGGGGGCACAGCACGGGTAAGGGGGCAGAAAGCGCAGGGAGGGGAGAGATGGGAGAGAGGGAAAGAGGAGAGAGAGGAGGGGAGAGGAGAGGAGAGGAGAGGAAGCAGAGAGCAGAGAGAGAGAGGCGACCGAGCAGAGAGGGCAGAGAGGAGAGAGAGGGGAAAGAGGAGGAAGAGTAGAGACGGGAGAAAGAGTAGAGAGGGGAAAGAGGTGGAGAAGGGAGAAAGAGCAGATGAAGCAGAAAGGGCGTTAATTTGAGCAAATTCCAAAAAACAACAGAGCGCGGAACAGAGAGAGCAGGGACAGAAACGCTGGTGCGAGAGAGCATCAGAAAAGATGTAGAGTAATAAGGACGGTGGGCGAGAGACGGGGGGGGAGGGAGGGGCGAGGGACGAGTGGGGAAAGGTGGAGAGGAACGCTAACAGCAAGCACGAACGTAAATCTCTTGCAATCCCCTCAACTCCGCCACGCCCCATCCCAACCCGCCTCGCCCCGTCCTCCCCCCCCCTCCGCCCGCATCACCTCATGAAGTGCAGTCGATTCGCGCTCCCCTCACCCGCACTGCCCCCACCTCCGCCGGTTTCCCCCGCCAGGACGTGCAGCAGTTGCGATGTGCGCACCCCCGCTGCCGTGCTGCCATGCTCCGGCCTGCAGGCATCGCGGAGTGGAGAGAGGGAGGCGGTAAGGGAGCGGGAGGAGAGACGGGAAGGGGGGGGGGGGGGGGGGTGGGGGAAGACACGTGAGGAAGCGGGGAGGAGTCGAGAGAAAGGCAAAAGGAACGAAAGTGCGACAATCAAACTGGCGCAATCAGGGGAAAGGACGGGTGAGGCGGTGAGAGGATGAGCAAGGAGAGCTAAAGCAGAAGCGGACCTCGAAAGGAAAGCTGGCGAAGTTGAGCGAAGAGATAATCAAGGATCTCAGCATTACATTTTCCGAAACACTGGCTCACCAGACCTTGCCGATGAAAAGAATCGATTCCGACTGCAGCCACGGCGGCGGCGACGGCAACGGCGATGGCAGATCTTGTGTTCCGTCGCCACCCACGCGGCCCAACGGGGTGTCTCTCGCCGACTCCGAATCTCGTGGATTCGAGTCGGCGGAACCCGACACGAGCGTGCAGCGCGTCGCTACACCGCGTCTTCCGTGCTTCCAAAAAAAATCACCGTCGGCGCCACCACCATTTCTTCTCGTGATGGGATACCCACAAACGCTGCGCCGAGCATAGGCAAGTTTGGCTCCACACAGCGCCACGGATTTAATGGCGCAGCACGAGCGAGATGCCACGCCGTGAAATACGGCGATGCGTTGCAATGACGCCATAGATTAAGAAGGCCTACACCTCATGGTAATGCGATTGTAGTGTCGGGCTGTGGCGATGGGGAGGCTATGGCGGACGGTTAAAGCTCGTGGCCCAAATTGCGGGCCGCGATGGGCAACCTTAGTAAGGTTGATCGACAGTTGTTTTGCATGTGCTGGTTTTGCTAATTGAGGTTACGGGTTGTACGAAGGAAGCTGATTGGCTAGTCAATTTGAGACACTGAGCTATTTGGCTAGCAAAATAGAAACAGTGTTTGCGGAGGGGGTTGGGTGGGAAACTGGCAAGGATAGTATTTGTGCAATATGGGACTCATGCAACCAAACGCGAAGTGCCCCCTGGGGTCTGCTGAGTCGGCGAAATGTGTTTGAGATTGGCGAGAAGTTGGGCGAAACCAAAGCCCTCAACCCACCCAACACATCGACTTTCCAACCCTCCTCCCTCACCTCACAACATGCAGCTTTAGTAAAGTTGTACAATTTGGGCCGCGAGCTTTAAAGAGAAGAATCTGAGAAATGACGAGCTAGGGTTACGACTACAGTACCAGCATGTTATCATTACGGTGGGGTGTGACGCTGTGGGTGACCAGGAAAAACGAACATCAAATAGCATGCCTCGACAAGACCGCTATATCTAGTCCTAAAATATCATTGCACAATTTTTAACAAATCACATATCTGTGAAAATTGAGAACGAGAATGAATGAACTATGAATGAAGTGGGTACAAGTACTAACCCTAATTGGGTTATGTCAAACATTATATATGTTGTGTTAGTTTAGGCTACAATGGGTTAGCCTATAGGGGGTACACAATTCTAGGGTTAGGTACTTGTACTCATTTCACTGCTAGTTCATTCATTCCTGTTCAGTGATTCCAACATGGTATAGAGCAGGTCCTTCCTAGGACCGAAATTTTCTAAGGGCCCACCACTACGTAACTACCTACCTACCTACCTACCTGTGCCCTAGGGCGCCTCGGCGTGTCACGCCCCTAGAGGCCCCTCTTGACGGCCCCGCGCTAGCCCCGTTCAGGCCCCGTCGGCCCCACACCCGCTCTCCCTAGCGGCCCCGTTCAGGCCCCGTCGGCCCCTTTAAGGCCCCGTTCAGGCCCCGCGCCAGCCCCGTTCAGGCCCCGTCGGCCCCGTTTCAGGCCCCGTCGGCCCCGCGCTAGCCCCTCTAAGGCCCCGTCGGCCCGCGCTAGCCCCGTTTCAGGCCCCGTCGGCCCCGTTTCAGGCCCCATCGGCCCCGTTTCAGGCCCTGTCGGCCCCGCGCTAGCCCCTCTCAGGCCCCGTCGGCCCACGCTAGCCCCGTTTCAGGCCCCGTTGGCCCCGTTTCAGGCCCCGTCGGCCCCGCGCTAGCCCCTCTCAGGCCCCGTCGGCCCGCGCTAGTCTCATTTCAGGCCCCGTCGGCCCCGCGCTAGCCCTCTCAGGCCCCGTCGGCCCCGCGCTAGCCCCATTCAGGCCCCGATCGGGCCCGCGCTAGCCCCGTTTCAGGCCTCGTCGGCCCCGTTTCAGGCCCCGTCGGCCCCACGCTAGCCCCGTTCAGGCCCCGTCGGCCCCTTGCTAGCCCCGTCAAGGCCCCGTTTGGCCCGGCGCTAGCCCCGCTCAGGCCCCGATCGGCCCCGCGCTCGCCCCTCTAGGGCCCCAACCGGCTCCGTGCCGACCTCGCCGACCCGTGGTCACCACCTAGAGGCCCCGGGCGGCCCGTTCCCGCCGCAGCACACGAGGGAGAGTGGGCGACCCGAGCCGCGCGGCCCGAGCCGAGCCGCGCGCCCTGAACCAAGCCGCGCCACCCTGCCTTACCTGGTTCGTCCTACCTGCTTCTCCTACTGCTACTGCTGCTATTTCTACTGTTCCTATGGCTAGCCCACAGGTTCTCGTGTTCGATGCTGAGGGCCGCCCTGTGAAGTTTGACACCTGGCTCGATGACCTGCACCTCTACCTACAGCTCACAGCCAAGGATGACATCTCACTGTACGATCACGCCCTAGGCCATGTCACTGCCCCTGCTGCTACTGCTGACAGCACTGCTCGCTCACAGTGGCAGACTCGTGATGCCCACGCTCGCTTCGCCATTCGCAACTCCCCGCCGATAGACGAACGCGAGCACTTTGGTCAGCACAAGACTGCACAGGCACTGTACACAGCTGTCGTTGCTCGCTACTCCTCACCTGCCTCTGCCGCACTAGGCCGTCTCTCCCTCCCCTACCTATTTCCCGACCTGGCCTCCTTTCACACAGTCGCTGACCTCATCACGCACCTCCGTACTAGTGAGGCCCGCTTCCGTGCCGCCATGCCTGCTGAGTTCCTTGCCACGCACCCCTCTCCACTCTGGCTCACTCTCTACCACCTAGTCACCCGCCTCCCTGACACACTGCGTGCTATCAGGGACCACTTCCTAGCTCGTTTCCCCACTGAGCTCACCATTGCCCTCCTCGAGAAGGAGCTACTTGCAGCTGAGACTAGCATAGTCGCTGTAGGTGCCTCTCGTGGCGACCCCCGTACCCCGTTCTTTGAGGGGTGTTCTCCTTCCCCCCTTTCTCCCTCTATCGCCACTGCTGCTGCTGTCGACCTTCTTGGTACTGAGAAGGTCGGCGCTGCGTCTGCCTCGAGCGGACGCCGCAGCGGCAAGGGCAAAAGGGGCAAGGGTGGTGGCGGTGACGGTGGGGGAAGCGGCGGTGGGGGCGGTGGAGGCAGTGGGGGTGGTGGCTCGGCTGGAGGGGCGAGTGGTAGCGGTGGGAGTGGTGGCGGCAGCGGCGGGGGAGGTGGCAGGAGTGGAGGCGGCGGTTGGGGTGGCGGTGGACGAGGCGGCGGCAGGGGTTGGGGTGGTCGAGGAGGTGGCAGCGGTGGTGGTGGCCGTGGAGGCACTGGCGGTGGCCAGGGCCAGCAGCACACTCCCTCGCCCCATGAGGTCCGTGAGTGGTACTCTCAGCACGGGGGTGGGGGTGGTCTTAGCTGCACGTACATCATTCGCACTGGTGACCGCACTGGTCAGCAGTGTGGATGACCGCACGCCACACAGCGCTGCTTCTCTCGTCTCGACGACGCTTGGCGTGTTCAGTTCCCTCAGGCCACTGAGCTGCCCCGTTGGCTTGATCTCCTGAAGAAGGGGATTGATATCTATGCTCTAGACTTTGATGCTAGTCTATCTGCCATGTATGTGATGTCTACTAGTGGAGAGGGTGCCGAGTACTTGTGTGTGCCGCCCGACCCGGGCATTAGGGCCAGTGCGTCTGCCGCTCCAGGTACTCGCGTGTCGGCTACCCCAGGTGCTGGTGAGGCTGCTGCTCTAGGTGCTCGTGTGTCTCCCCCCCTTGGTACTGCGTTGACTGCCGCACTGCACACCTTCACACTGGACTCAGGTGCTTCTCGCTGCTTCTTTCGTGACCGCACTGCCCTTGAGCCGCTTGCTCGGCCAGTTGCTGTCTCCCTTGCTGACCCCTCTTGGGATCTGGTCATTGCGACCTCTTCCACTGTCCTTCCCTACCCTGCGGTCCCGTCGGGCACACTGTCAGGTCTCCACCTCCCCTCGTTCTCTACGAACTTGGTTCCTGTCAGGTCCCGTCGGGCACACTGTCACTCGGACTTTCCTGTCCTGCGCTTGCACTCTGACAGAGGTGGTGATTTCTCCTCCGACCTCTTGGCAGCCTACTGTTCTGAGCACGGCATTGAGCAGTCGTTCACGCTTCCGGCCTCTCCACACCAGAATGGGGTTGCGGAGCGTCGCATTGGCCTGGTCATGGAGGTCGCCCGTACCTCCTTGATCCATGTGGCTGCCCCCCACTTTCTGTGGCCGTTTGCGGTCCGGTACACTGCGCATCAGCTCAACCTCTGCCCCCGTGTCTCCTTGCTGGAGACCTCGCCCACGCTGCTGTGGACGGGGGAGGTTGGCGATGCGTCGCGTTTCCGGGTCTGGGGGTCTCGAGCTTTTGTCCGCGATTCGTCTGCGGACAAGCTCTCCTCCCGTGCTATTCCCTGTGTCTTCCTCGGCTTTGTCCCGGACGCGTCTTGTT